TGAAGAAATGAATATTCCCCATCTTCCAAATTGTTTTTCACATTTTATTTAAAAAGATGTTTTTCAGCGAGGCGAGACTGCTGTCGAATTTGCGAATCGCGTAAAGAGAGAGATTGCAGTCCGCGGTGGCTTAGTTGATCTAGAATGGGATGGAGGTTTGAAACGCACGAAAGTTCCAAAACGGATGGTCGCCAACCAGCAGAAGAAGTCTGGATTCCACTAAATCTCTTGAGCCACATGTTTATGCTATGCTGGTATTGTATGACTTATAATATTCCAGATATGCTCAAAGACTATCGCGGTACAAGTCATGTTCGGATGCTGAAATGAATTCAAAACGGGGAACAGAAACAAAGAGTGGATCTTGTAAGTGACCTACTGATTGCAAGTTTCTGGGACTAGATGCTCCAGATATCTTAGTCAACACCGATATTTACAGCTCCTTCCCAGTCAGGTTCTTCTGTGCTTGAATTGGATGACTTATCCGAAGATGTCATTGCTGACGAAGAATCTGTCGCGGAAATGACCGACGCAGTTACGTGCCCTCCATGGAATTTGAAAGAGCTCGGATTACCAAACAGAGACGAGGCATTTGAGGATGATTCAGAAAGCGGCGTGCGAGACTTGCTTTCAAATTCCTCTGCGAACGAAAGCTGGTATCTCTTGATCCCCGTACAAAGCGAATTTCTTTAGATGTATTGATTTTATTTAATCAACCTCTTTTAGTTGTGAAGACGAGGGCATTAATGTCACAGACCAGTTTCTCCGCTGTTCGAGCATCGAGGGAGCCTAATAGGTTTTTACAACAGCAATTTTTAAAAAGGGCACGCCAAAAGTTACTTACAGTTCTCTGTAACGGGCCTGCTAAATGATAGCTTTTGGCCGTGAATACATGATAAAAGGGGTCTCTTCAACTAACAGGCACGGACCCAGAGTCGGTGTTAGCCAAACAGGTTCGCAAGCGACGCTCCACTAAAGCCCTAATTACTACTAGTGAATGCCATCGCCGACTCTGCTTGCAAACATCCTGATTTTACCTTGACCTCCTTGCTACCCTACGCAACCCTGCGTCACAATGAAGCGCAGTTCATGAGCACTCACTGTAGCTGTTTCTGTTTGTAGGGACGGACATTATGGTGTCCTATCTGCTGCTAACCAGATTTTCATTATTTACTGTCTCTTTATTGTTTCTACCAAATAAAAGAGCTTCCAGCTTTATGACCCAAGCTAACAACAACCTCGATTGTACTGCACTTCACAGTTACATGATTTGCAAAGAAATTTGTGTTGGACACAACCTAAGAATCTCAGAACAGCGTAAGGAGTACACATTACAATATTCCATTATTAAAATTGTACTGAGGTCATGTACTTGGAAACAACAGTTAGCGAAAATTAGTGCTTTCCGGATCGTAACCGGGAAGAATAGTGAAAGACATCAGAAATCCTGCGCAATAACGACGTTAAAAACACTAACGAAGAGCAAAAAAGGATCTGGAACAACAATGAGTATCGAAGCAGAAGGATTAAAGTAGTCCATATCGGAATTCGCCTCACAAGATTGTACTGTCAACCTTTTTGGAGACACGAATGTATGACAAAATTAGGGAACAAAATAAAACTAGTTGTGCATTTCTAGTCTATGTTAACAATGCCAACGTCAGATGTTCAGTCCAGTTAATAAAATTTGATTTTAACTCACTTGGCAGTGGTATAAAGTGAAAAAAGAAAGTGGTGTTCGACGAGGCGCTAATCATGGACTTTTAAACGCTCTTGCGCTTTACACATAGCTCGAGCTTGAAGGTAATCAATAACTGTGCGTTGCATCGCAGCTTTATTGCTTCGTAACGGGCACACTTTGATACTCTGTTCAAATAACCTTTTTGCTTCGGCGTAGTCATTCCTAAAAAAAAAAAACCAGGAAAAACGCGCTTATGCCTCTTAAATGCAAACAGTTACCTTTGACACGCAATCCGAGCCAAAATGTTTAATGCATCAGGGTTGGCCTTCTCCTTCTCTAAACAAAGTTTCATCTTCTCCTCCAAAGCCTGAACCCTCTCTGGATCCTCTGCCTCCTCCACTTCAACCATGCTTAAATGGAATTGAAAGTACAGAATAACCAAAGTTTTGATTTTACCGCCAATAACAACTAAAGCTTTCCAAACAACTACATAAAAAAGCACCATTCTCGTTCTCCTTAATTTCAAAAAAATAAACAGCACACAGGGATCGCATCCTATACGACAATCACTGCAACCTCCCTATCCAATCTTGCTAGCTCAGCAAAATCTGGACTTATCAAAAAGAGAGGGGAGTCGACAGAACTTGGTTGTCAAGCAAAAAAAAAAAACATACGCGAGGTAAAATATCGGGGCTGAGTACTCTGGCAAACCTTCTGCTGCTTTTTTGAAAGCCGCTTTAGCAAGCTCGACATTCTGGGCGGCAAAGTAAAGCTGAAACACAATTTCAGTACGACCTTACAGCATAAAAATTTGAGACAAAAAATTTCAAATCAATTCCTACCCGTCCGGTTATCAGATGTAAAACGGGGTCTGCATCAGGGTTGGCTTTTAATAATTCATCTGCTCTTAATACAGCGTTGAACGTACCAGCAACGTCCCCAGCGGAAGCTTTCATTGCCAAGTCAAAATTTATTTTCATGTGACTTAAAAGAAAATTGTAGAGTTCTTTGGTATAAAACATCGTTTTCCAGAAATGATCGCAAAACAACAGTTGCAGCAACATCTGTCAAAAAATTCACAACCCAACTATGAAAACTGAAGTTCTATCAAATTACTTCACTAAATGATGCTTCGGATTGATTTTAGAAAGTTGTTCTAGATACTCCAACGCAAGATCGAACTGTCCACTTTCAGAGAGGAGCATAGCAGCACTAAGATACACGTCAACATTATCCCTATCAGCTTCAACAGCCTTTTGAATGTCCCTAAAAACTGCGTCACAGATTACCTGTCTCATTCGAAATTTTTATGAAACTTTTAAATGTAAAACTAGGGCTCTCAAACTTTTATAAACTAACCAACTAAAGTCCACGCAGACTTGAAGCAGTCTCATATATCTAGTCTATTGCAGTAAACAACTAATACTAAACTATTCAAAAAATTCAATGATCATTAAGGAACGCCAACGACGAAACAAGCTCACTGGTTGAGAAGAGGGGGATTAACAAGCAATTTTAAAGCAGCAGAAAGAAGATAATACATAGCACGATAATGTTTAGTCACAGGATCGTTCTTAACTTCCTCATCTAACGCTGCCCAAAGTTTTGCAAATCTGTCTAAGTACTTTCTCATTGTCTGAAAATAGTAGATAAAACACGTTATCCTTACCCAGATATATGAAACAGAAAAGGATAAATATCACATTCTTGTACCGTAACTTCACTAAACAGGCTTTTTGAGACAACTCAAGAAATCAGCATAAAGAAATCGTAGAAATGAACAGACCATGCTGGCCAGAATATTTCGAATCCAGCTGTAAAGGTTACTTTAAACTTACATCCAAATCTTCTTTCATCAACGCAAATCGCGTCAGCAAAATATAATTCCGTAAGCTTTCAGATGCATCATTCAACCCGGAATCAATGTCATTTTCCAGTAAGCCAATTACCTCCTCATATCTATGATCTTTGATTGCTTGCAGCACTTTACCATAACAGCTAGAAATCAGTATCTTCAAAAATTCTATTTTCGAAATAAAAAAAGATCTACCCAGAAAAAAAACATACCTCTTCACGTCAAAATCTTTTTTCAAATCACTTAGCACCGAGTCGTTCACATAACAAGACTGCCAAAGCAGTACCTGTTCATCCCTTATTGGAATACCCCTCCGTGTCTTTTCCTGTAATCAAAGTTCAACAGTCTACTCCGAAACCCCAAATTAACGCGATAAATTAGATGTAATATTAGGGCCATTTTGATTGAAAAAATGTACAAAATTTTCAACAAAGATCTTATCTCACCTAAAAAGACATTATTTCGAAACCTTACCAAATCATTGATAAATGTATCGCATAACTCTGTAACAACTTTATCTGTGTCTGCTGCAAAATGGTCAACAGCGTTTGCATCCAAGACAAAAGCGTAAGTAAAATCTAAAAAATGTTAGCAAACAAATCGGCCTCCCTGAGCGCTTATGAGAGCCGGTAGGAACGACAGAACTGAGACACTTCACCTAAGCAAGTAACCTACCATCTAATGCGTTTTCAAGCTCTCCAAGTCTTACGTATGCTCGCCCTCGTCGTACAGCAGCCTTCTGATAAAAAAGATTCAAACTGAGGGCTGTTGAACAGTCCTCAATGACTCTTTCTAAATTGCCCTAAAACATCTGCAAAAATAATTCTGAAATAAGCGGTAGACAAGGTAATGAAAAGTAAGTCACTGACAAGTCGTTCATTAGCAGCAGCCCTATTCTGGTAGCATAAAGATAAATGATTTGCTTCTCCTTCAGGGCAAAACTGTATAGCTTTAGTATAAGCTTCTACAGCTCCCTCATAGTCCTTTTGTTTAAATAGGTCATTGCCTCGCTTCTTCATTTCTTGTGAACCTTCCATTCCTATAAAACCAGAGCAGGAAAATAAAGATAGCAACCTAAAAATTGATAATGCCCATGATACGCCCTATTTAAAGTAGAGAACACATAGAGAACACAATCTCAACAAATATACAACTGTTGATGCAATAACCTTCGTGTTCTCCACCGCTTCTTGAACTTCACCACATTAGTTGTTAAAAAACTGAATAAACAAACAGAGCTTAGAATATACTTTAAAGAAGAAGGAAAATGCATTAACACACCTGGTAAACATTCTTTCAGAGGTTCTGGTCCTGTCCTTTGTTGAGAATCTGACTGCTGCCATATCTGGAAAAAATTTATCATTAGTCCCCACTTACGGTAAGAGAAAAAAAAACAAAACACCTGACATCATCCCTGATATTGCTTTTGACTTATTTTTGCTAAAATCCTCGTTCACGGATAGTTACTTGTCCCTTGGAAGCCTCAATTTACTCTCTGAATTGATTTACAGCAAAAAAAGGAAGCAGCAACCATCCCTCTAGGCTATCGCTTCAAAATCACTGATCCAGAACATGAAGTCACGTTGTCAAAAAATTTCCAATGCAACTTAATAATCTGTGTGTACGCTGCTACATTTATTTTACACTCTCCAGCAGATAAGATGGTAAAACAGCTATTTTTTACAGCAACAATGATGTAAATCTATTCTGCTATCTGACAGATACCTTCGTTCCTCGACCCCACATAGATAACGGTCATTAAAAATCTTCGTCATTGGCGAAACAAATAAAAACTGCCATATAATATCAAACAATACTCCAAGACTTAAGAAAGTTCAAAAAATCTGCACAGCCGCTGGTGGCCCCATGTAAAAAAGTAGATGTAAAACAAAAAATAAAAATTTATTAACAGTTCTGAAACTTAATTAACATTCAAGGCGGTCCTAAACACATCTTTTCAAAAAATATAGTAAGCTGACAAGAAAAAAAACTTGGCATCGACTTATACAAGATGGCAATTAGCTCAAACAAACGCCTAATTACGCTAGAACATCTGGATATTCTATTTCTAGATCTTCTTAGCAAAAAAACTTCTAGGTCCATTTAATAAAAAAAGTTCAGACTGGAATGAAAAGTGTGAACATGTAGAAACTGTTACAGGTTCACAGCAAGGTTTCACGTTGTGAAATACATGCCTCAACCAAAAAATCCTCTGCATACAAGCTCTTTCAGGTCACCCTGGTCACCAAAACAAAAGCATTACAAAAAAAAATATATATGTACAGTAAAGTAATTGCTTGTAGAGATATCTCAGCCTTTATCAATAAGTTTGGTGAATTTCAGCTTCAAAAATGATAATGATATCTTCAACAGGCTAACACTTCCCCTTAAGCATAAACTATAGTCATAGACTGAAAACAGATACTTCGATTAGCTTAGGTTAGAAACCTTACACTTTTTTTCCGTTGCGTAAACCAGATTAAAGCTATCGTTCCTGCCAAACACGCACCGCCCAAGACCACGGCACTACGAATCCATCCCGAAGATCCTACTGCATTCTGTGGTGTAAACAAACTTAATACTTGTGCCATGTTGCTGTAAATAAAACACTATCACCTGGCCGGATACAATTACCAAACCATGTAACGACGTTAAGACACGAAATTTCGACAATTTTGACGTTTAAACATGCACCCTCTAATCCATTCTCGCGAAAGTAAAAAAAATCACATGCTGAGGAATAAGAAAATGCACCCTACAATCAGCACTGTATTTAGCTTGATCTACTTGCTAAACTGAGTTCCAAATAGACAAAATGGTTGATGTGCACCAACAATAAAAATACAGTAATTACTATTAACATATTCTACCTTCTGTTGGATCTAGCAACGAAGCCGTTGTAAAGATATTGTACTAAAATAACCGCCCAATAGCTTCGAACTGTCACATAAAAAGTACCAACAACAACAAGCGAGCGGTGGATACAAAAAATAAAGAAAATAAAAAATAAAAAAAAGTAAAAGAAAAGTATGCTGCTACCACGTAACCAAAACCGTTAAACCACTGAGCTTTCCTTTAGGCCAATCACAGAAAATAGTACTATTCGGCACAAGAAAAAAACTAAAAACACTCGCTGGTAACTCCGCTTTAGTAAATAGCTTCAATCTATTGAATGACCTTGATTTCAAGCCTGAAATAACATTTGGAACCCACGAATTTCCCTTCAGTCAACAAGCGCACGAATGAGTGCAACATTTGATCATCACGAGTAACAGTGCCCTACAGGAATAAACTGCCTCCAGCTCTTTTCGTGGTGATCAAAACACATATGGAAAAAGGCCTCAAGACAAATTAACTTCCCACCTCCCATCAAAAGATATAATGGAAATCCTCATTATTACGGTACTCGTTTTTCCATCTACATTGCCAACGCCAGTTAAGTAAAATAGTTAAATCTGTCCATCGTATGCGTTATTTACACCAACTTCTCCGATCCCAGAAACCTTATTATAGAAACTGCACGACTCCATCAACGGCTGCATATCGCACAGTACTACATGCTTATCTCTCGAAGTTAGCAACATTCAACGAAAATAGAATTTACAGAAAAAAAACCAAAAAGCAATAATATACTAAGAATCCATTTGCAGTTAAAACATAATTTAACTGTATGACGCAATTACTACAGTCTTCACATAAATACAAATAGGAATACAAACAAACATTAGTTAATCAACCAATTAATTGACATTATATATGTATACCTAGTTGTAACTTTTAGTATGATGCTTAGAACGAAAAAGTTTCAACAACAAAGTTATAAGAATAATCCCGCTCTGGACAGTCGTTTGCCAACTTGTGAAAATCGTTTGAGGAGAGGGTAGCGCTCTTGCAATAGCCCTATACCACGCCCACCGGCTTGCTTGAAACCAGCAGCACACGCATCACTCGTGCCAGTAACTTGCCCTTCAAATGTCCACTCGAACAATTCCTTTTAACTAAATCAAATGACAGTTATTATTCGACCGTCGCCAGACTTCTACTCGTCTTAAAACGTCATTAGAATGAGTTCGTTTTTCCTAGTGTACTTCAAGGCGAAACAGTGAAATAATTCGTCAAAAGACGGATCTGCAAACCGGAAAGTTTTATGCCTAAAGCCACCTTGCCACTGCTGACCTTTATCTGGTACCGCCTCACAAGAGCAGCTTTGCCCGGGATTCTTAAATTGAACGGCCTATCTAACTTATTCGTTTAGCACCCATGAGCTGTAGGCGGCGAAGAGTAGGGCACAAACATCACCGAAACAGAAACTCACGCACTCCATGAGAGATAATCAGATATGATCTAACATGAGAGTTACACCTTTGGCATAGGTAACACGTACACTTGCAGCATAACACATTTCCATTTTACTAGTCAAACAATTTTAACAATGATTCAATGGACAAGATGATTATGGGTATCCAGCCAAAGAAAGTCGCTTTTCTTGCAAGTGACTGATCGAGTCTTAACCTCTGATTTCAGAATGGAAACTCAGCAGAACAATCAAGGTTTGCGGATCTTGTGCCTTGCGCTCCTTAGCAGTGCCCGTTAGAGTGAAGTACAAAGGTGGAGAAAAAATAAAGCTTTCCAGAAGACAAAAAGACATGAATGTGGCACAAAAAGTGCACAGAAACCACTTCGAATTTAGAACATCAGCTGTTCTCCTGATTTGACAAATTCTACACCAAACAATATCTAATACTGAGGCAGATTACAAGTGCCTAGAAATTCAGAAATTCCTTCAGCAAGAACATCAATTAATTGTTTGTAGGCACGTAAGCATGAACTTATGCAGAGTTCACCATAATACCAATGTGAAAAATTACTTAAAAGGCAAAAGATAGAGAGAATTATAGAACACATATGGCTTTCTGACAAACGTTCAAAGTGAAGCTCGCTGGAAATTTCACTGGGAACGCCAGTGGGATGGAACGAAAACAACCTCTTGATTTTTCATAGTTTCCCAACCCTCATTTAGCGGCAAACAAAAAGTTGTGACTTCGCAGTTTTGCAGAACAGCTCACTACCTGAAACTTCCCCAAAGTTTTTTGAAAACATCAATGGGCTTTAAAACAAGCGCCACTTTGAATTATGTCTTAGATTCCTAGCCTTAGGTCGCCGTATTCTAGTGAAACCTACAATGAGCACTAGTACAAGACAAAAATTAAAAAACATTTACGATTCTAACCTGTCTGCAAAAGAACAAACCAAAGCAGCTATTCGCGTTAAAAAGTAACTTAAATAGAGACTCAGTGGAATCGAATTGAAAAAAGGCTGAACTAAAAAGGTTAACCTGCGTACTTAAGAAATACCTACACACGGACTCAAATTTGACTACAAGTATAACTCTCAATACAAAAATTCCAACAAAAATTACTGCAGCGGAAGTTCCGTCACTGTTGCAGTAACATTAAGAACAGGAAATTTTTAAATAGCTCTTATTTTACAGATAAGGGAAGCTTACAACGGTACCAATGGCTAATTTGCTAAAAACGAGCCATCATAACATCAATTTTTCAGTGAACTACAATGAGAAATCACGCTATCATAAGAAAAATTAATTTATCTCCAGATCTCTAATTGGCGCCCCCTTGGAAGTTGCACTCTCACTGACTTGCAAGAGTTCGTAACTGTCGAAGAATCGCATCCAGAAGTTTTTTACGGTCTTTTTCTCGACCTTTTGTGAAAAAGCTAGAAGTCTTCCTCTCGAACTCTACCATTCTAAAAACCATCGCAGTTACACTAAAGTCCACAGAAGAAAAAAATACCGACTAATCAGGTAATGTTTTTTATATTAATCTATACTAATTAACAGTACAATTTCGATAACCGCTATTAAATAAGTAAAAATATAAGAAACAAATTACTTCCCTTAGAAATACAAATATTGTCAAGAAACCCCAGAAAACATAAGCCGGCAAAGATAAAAATATTATCAAGTGTTGAAAATAGAACCGATATTGTGACACTTTTGCTTTAAAAATGAGAAGTTATTTTTAATTTGGCGTGAAAATGCACCGCGATGGGAGTTGAGCACTTTGCTGCATTCAACATATCGTTACAATTTCCGGGCGGTACCAAATTTCGCCATTTTGTCTGGACTCTCCACTAGTTCTTAATTTTGAGGCACGTAATTGATTTGTTTACCTTTGTTTAGGTATGAGAAGCTGCGGGAAAAGGGGTCAGCAATTTTAAAGTGGAATTTGACTTATTCAACGTTTAATTTCTAGAACAATCCCTAACTGTGGACAAAAGCTGCTGCTTTCTCGCACGACAGTCGTTGGTAAG